TTTTTTCACTAGTTTTGAGGGTTTTAAAACCTAGTGTTTTACTAGTTTTTTTACCACTTTTGGCTGGCAGGGGTTTTAAGTAGACATATTTTTATGTGTATGTATTAGGTAATTTGTATCACGTTGTCGTGCTTAACAAGTTGACAGAGGAGATTAAACTAGTTTTTTATATATACATACATCATTATTTCTAATACGTAATGTCTTCCCTTTTAAAAAATTAAAAAAATAAGTACGTATTGCACGAATTTATATTATTCTGAAGTCAATTATTTGAAAACATAAAAATAAAAGTTATTACAACTAAATCAAAACTAGTAAATGTATTTGTATATAATTTCATTTCGTTAAGTGGTTAAAAAAATAAATGTTAAGTATCAGTTTTGCTTTAATCATAATTTCCTGTGGAGCATTGGGTCTCAATAAAGCTTTTCAATCTGCTCCTGCTTCCTATCATGTCTTGTTGCGATTTTCCGCATTTGTGGATCTCCTTCACGTGGTCTTAGAGCTTCTTCTCTTACGACTTTCTTTGGGCTTTCCAATCCAGAGCTTGTCAACAAAGTTTTGTGGTATCTTTACGCTATGTGTGACCTATCTATTTCCATTTTTCCAAATTTATATAGTTCAAGGATGTTCGTGACTCAATCACTACGGCAATCTAGCAAGGGATCAAATTCGACGCACAAACTTTGCAGTATAAGGGTTTGCTCAAGGCACACAATACAAACGACAATACTGCTGCACTTGTGAAAGTTTGCAACACTTCTGCAACTATTCAGCTAATACTTTTCTGATATTACCATTTGTTTTGCATAGGTTGTCGAAGTTGAAAACCTAAATTAAAATAATGGAGTTTTCCATTAACATTTTGCTGGATAATTTGACAACGGTAATTTGCTATTTAAAACAACAAATAAAGGAATGAAGCGCATAAAGAAAAGAAATTGTTGGAAGGTTTACAGCTTATTTTTTCAATTATTTTACCCATTTTCAGATTTCCAGTGAAACATTTAATAATAAGTTTTGTATCTCGTAGTTTTGTATAGTAGTATTTAAAGAAATTAACGACTGAATAATAACCATTTTTTCCAAAGATGAATACGGATTGGTTAAATGAGATAAGCCGCCCAATCGAAGTCAACCCAACGCCGCTGTGATCCGATCTTTCTCGATCATCATATAACAGCATATTTCCGCACATTGGTTTAAATTAAGATAAACTTGTGTTAATAGTTCCGCAATATTGTTCAAACTGAAAATCAAACCAAAATTAATTGTAACTACCCTCATATTTGTTAAATTTTGTAAATAGATTAAAAACAAAATCGAACTAAACACATTGAATTACCCTTGTAAGTAAAACGGGTGTATTATTTAAAGAAGTGGAAGTGGTAAGTGTGTGGAAGTGAAGTGGGCACCTACTCAAACAGTGCTACTTTAGACATTGGTTCTTCGAGGCTCTAAGAAAGGCACTACTTGGAAAAAGAGTCAAACGGCAAAATAATCATAAAGTGACAAATGTACAAAAAAATATAATAAAATAAAAGGTGCGGTATACATATATTATACATACATAAGAAAAAAAAAAGTATTATAAAAGAAGTGGTGCAGTGACATATTCATATACATATAAAAAAAAAGGTTTGAAAAACGGATACGATACGGTTCCGTGTTGTAATACCACAATCAAAAAAAAAAAACAAAGGTAAATCGTGTGTGCAGTTATAAAAACAAAAAAAACACATGTAAATACATATGCATAAAGTCATCCCAACGAAGGAAAGACAACCAACGAAGGGAAATTTACAACCACGGAACAAGGAACACCAAAAAGGAAAGGAAACGGACAGGAAGCAAATTGGACGCAGTGCCATAAACTACTCCCCCAATATCTTAACCGTATATAAAGCCCTCAAAGACCCTTGAAGTGGCACAAAGTGAGTGTATCGACTCCATATATTATTTTAAATAATTTTTACTTATTTGCATATATGTATGTATGTTGAAAGTTACAGTTGATCTCTCTAAAAACTGTATACGATCCTGTAAATGTTCATAGAACGGTTGCTACTAAACTTACGGTTGATTTGCGAGAAACCGAAAACAGTTTGGTACATTACATAAGTACATCCAAATATATGTATGAACAGTATATAGTATAATATATAATTATATGTATCTGATGAAATCTAAACACACAACAAAAAAAAAAAATTTCAAGTATTCACTTGACAACATTTTCCGGCAATACGCCTTATACTCAAAACATTATAAGCAGGATTGCGCAAAAAGTAAGCTAGGGCAATTGTGGAATTTAAAAGAGAAAAGAAAAATAACAAAACTAAACGTACATATATGCACAACAGTCACCATTTACATATGTACATACCTATTACATACCGAAACAAAGTAGGAAACAAAATTAATGCAACATACACATATGTACATGTATGTATAAACAGCATTATTAAAATTTTACATATTAACAAAAAGTGCATACCTGTACTTCACCGATTTTCTATTCCCGCGTTATCCGTATGGCAAATAATATACACACATACATACGGTATATAATTTGCCTATGCCGGTATATACAACGTACATAGAGTATAAAAATAATATAAAATTTCACAACTGAACGAAAATAATTACAAAATTTCGAAAAAAAAGCGGTAAATGCGATATTTTTATTTATTAAAAAAAATTTGCTTTTAAGAGTTGGTAAAAACAAAGAACATAGATACGTATTGGCGTTTTCAAGTGTTCACACACACATATATTTAAAAACCAAATCGGCACCTGTCCAGCAATACCCCTTGTTCTTGATAAAGCCCTCGCAAGCAGGATTGCAAACAAAAAAATATAAATTTTTCTCCATCATCTGTATGCACATAAACACGCACATATTGTGCAGACTCATATGCAAAGGTTATCCACCTTTTTCTCCTTTTTGCATTATCGCTCGTATACGCAAGTATTTACTAACGAGTACGAATCATTAAATAAAATTAAAAAAATTAAAAACAAGAACAAACTAATAGCTAAATACATAAACATACCGGGAATAAGGAAAACGAAATACGCGTTCGTTATTTGATACGTTGCAGATACAACAAAAATAAATACTTTTTATCTTAAAGATTTCACGCGTACTTATTATTATCAGAAGTACGCTGAGAGATTTTTTTTTCTCATATTTTCGATTTTATCATATTATCTAAATGAACGGAGATTCTAAGGAATCAATACAATATCTAAAAGTACAAAAAATGATTTCAGAAGAAAAGAGCCCATGTACACCTGCTGAAGCTACACGCTCAAAGAAAGGTGCTACAAAGCAAAAAAAGCTTAAAGATATTTCATATACTAAGTTCATTGCTGAGAGTGACAGTCTTATTCGATACTGCACTCGATTTTCATCTTCACCGATTCAAGCCAATTCTGAATCGGTACTATAAATCAAAAAAGAAAATCTAGGCAATTTCTGGACAGGTCTCCAAGCTGCGTATGACGCAATTGTAGAATCTAACGAATCAGATCTACCTGCATGCTCCAAATATGAAAACTGCCTAGACCATTACGAAGAGACGAAAGCTATGATCTCCGATCAATTGAAGTTAATTAAAGCAATTGCACCTACTCCACAACCGATAGTAGAGCCGCCACAAGTTCAAAGCCAAGAGGCGAGTTCAGGTATCCCCTTCAAGGTGCCCGCATGTGACACTGAAATTTTTCATGGGGGTTATGTACAATGGCCATCCTTCCGGGACATGTTTACAGCGGTGTACGTAAACTATTCAAAATTATCACAAGCGCAAAAATTGTATAACACTTCGATATAAAACAAAAGGTCAAGCAGGCGTAATAGTCAAGCAGTTTGCTCTTAATGACGAAAATTTCAATTATGCTTGGGAAGCTATAAAAGCTCGTTACGAGAACGAAAGAATATTAGTCGACAAACAAGTCACAATATTAATGAATTTACCAAAAATTCAGAAAGAAACAATTGAAGAATTTATAAAACTTCAATTCACTGTTTCAAATTGATTGTAGGTTCTAGCGACACAGAATCTTCCCACAGACAATTGGGACCCCATTCTGGTGAATATATGAACAGTAAAGAAAAGTCGTTATTATTGTTGAAGCAATCGCTCTCATCACGAAGAAAGCGCCCAACGTGGCAACAAATGAAAAATTTCTTAACTACCCAATATGAAATTGCGGAAAGGGTAGATAAAAAAAATCGTCAGAACTAAACACGTTCAACACGACCTAAATCGAAGCTTTATTAGGCCCCAGGCGAGAAACAACATCAACTTAAATCGTAGTTTTTTCAAAACACAAGCGCTCACATCCGAATAGAACAAACATTCGTCATGCGAACTGTGTAAATGAGGGCACATTCTGAAATCTTGCGAGAAATTTAAAAAACTAAATATTAATGAAAGAAACAATTTCGTAAGAACGAAAAAACTTTGTACCAACTGTTTGTCACATGCGCATGCGCTCACAGATTGCGAAAGCAAATTTAATTGCATTTATTACCATAAACTACATAACTCAAAGCTTCACACTTACTTACCTTTTTTTCTTACCCTTATTTCCCCCCAAGCGGATGAGAGGAAAGTTCTCTCATCGCCATTCACTTGGGAATGGCCAGACACGATTCTTTTACATATGACTCAAGCAGCTCACGACTTCCGGTCTTTGACCAAGTACCCTCTGGGTAGCGTAAGAACATCAATTTGAAAGCAAGCTAAAGTGAGAAGGCGAAACAAACAGTCCCTACTTAGGGAAATACACCCAATGAAAAGGAACAACCAGTCTCGGATGAGAGACCCACCTTTTGATAACGACCATGGCAAACGAAATAAGGACTACGAATTGAGGGCGTGCACCTGGAGTGTCCGGCCCTTTAATCGGGAAGTTGTCGCTTCCCAGCTGGTTGATGTCCTCGTGAAAATAAAGGCTGACATCACCGCCGTCCAAGAAATGCGATGGACGGGACAAGGACAGAGACAAGCAGGTCCTTGTGGCATTTACTACAGTGGCCATATAAAGGAGCGCAAGTTTGGTTCGGGATTCGTGGTGGGAGAAAGATTCCGTCGCCGAGTACTATCATTCACTCCGGTGAATAAACGTCTACCCACAATCCGCATCAAAGCGAGGTTCTTCAACATATCGCTGATTTCTGCCCACGCCCCCACGGATGAGAAGGACGATGTGACCAAAGATGCCTTTTATGAGTGCTTGGAGCGCACTTATGAGAGCTGCCCTCGCCACGATGTCAAAATCGTACTTGGCGACTTTAACGCCATGGTGGGCAAATAAGGTATCTTTGGCACTAAATTCAGCCTCCACGACAAAACATCCCCAAATGGGTTGAGACTGATCGACTTCGCCGGGGCCCGAAATTTGGTTATCTGTAGTACCAGTAGTAGATTCCAGCATAAGAAGATATATCAAGCTACCTGGCAGTCTCCGGATCGAAAAACCACCAACCAGATCGATCATGTTGTGATAGACGGAAAACACGTCTCCAGTGTTTTAGACGTGCGTGCGCTCCGAGGTCCTAACATCGACTCGGACTACTATCTTGTTGCAACCCGCCTCTGTGCAGCAAAAAACGCACGCCAACAAACACAAGGAAGGTTCGACGTCGAGAAACTGTAATCAAAGGAGCACTCATTCTGGTCACACCTGAGCCAGGCGTGGAATCGCTATCATTATTAAATCAATGGGAGAGAATTAAAATTCTCCATCATAATTTCAGCCACAGATGGAAAGAAGACTATTTAAAGGACCTCTGCAAAAGGTATCGATTGAAACCACCAGAACCACCACCTAACGAGTGGCGACTTGGCCGGATAGAAAAGCTCCTTTACGGCTCAGACGGTCGCATCCGGGTAGTTGATCTCCGTACTCCAAGCGGAATACTAACCAGAGCGCTGGTTAAATTATGCTTTCTACCAACCGCAGATAATAAGCGAAAATCCGATACTAAATAATCCGAACATAATGCTGAAATACAAATGAAAATAAAATCAATCAATCAATGAGAATAAATCAATAAAATCGCAACCCGCAACAAACCGTTAAAAATAACAATAAAAATTACACAAAAATATGGTCGGTCAATACGACAACCCAATCATGCCACATAACGTGGTACAATCGCACATTCTATTTATATACTACCATGTATATTCAAATACCACTTTTTACAGAGATCAAGATGGACGTGGACATGCCTACTATCCCAACGCCAACTGTTCGGTCGGCAACAAACGTGGCACGTACTTTGACTACTCCTCCGCCCCGCCCAACTAATGCTACGACCACGACTACCGCTTCTGGAAGTGGCTCACGAGCAGCCGCATCAACGCCATAAGCCCAACCCGAGCCGCGTCGCATTAGATGCCCGCCGGAAACACCGACTACAGCACTGTGGACTCTTTAAGGAATTGTCACCGACACAACGCCATCTTGCTGCCCAGGCACATGAACACTGCCTCAACTGCCTGTCGCACACACATGTGACGCTATTTGAGCCACACGTGTGGCAGACCACACCACACACGCTGCTGCATAGGGCCCCACGACGCGATGTAGGTCAGCCATCTGCCTTATGCGCGAATAGAGCAAGGCAAGCAAACCGGGCGGTACGACGTCGTACCACTGCAGCCCGGCCTGAGCCCCATCAATGGCGTCCGCATCACGTTGCACCAACCAAGCGTCGACCAAAAGGGCCACAGCATCGCCCCGTTACTGGACTCAGCAACGTAGTGGCAACACTCCAGCAATTACAAAGATTGCTAGGATAAATATTCGCCTAGGGGAGCCAGAATGGTTATATGAGATAAGACCGAATCGAATCCACACTGAATTACCCTTATAAGTGAAACGGGTGCAGTATATAAAGAAGTAGAAGTGGTAAGTGTGTCAAAGACAAAAGTGAAGTGGGCACCTACTCAAACAGTGCTACTTTAAACACGGATAAATTTTAGAGTAGCATCCCACGATTGCGGGGTAAAATGGGTTTGTACAGACAGAGGAGATCCTCCAGATCAAGAAAATATATGCATAGTTGCCACTTACTTATGGATTTTGAGATATTTGCATTCAAAGTTCAAAAATTCAACTATTTAAAATGCGTATTTGCTAGATTTTCAATGAATTTAACACTTACATTTTTAACTTTGTAATCCACCAACCCTAAAGCAAAGTGAAGAGAATTAAAGAAAAGAAAAAATAAATTCAATAACTTTAGTTAAAAACTTGTTTCAGCGGAAGTGCTTTCCAGTGAGATCGCCTAGAAGTTAAAGTGCGGTGAGATTATTGAGTCGAGAGGCTGTTGCAGCTGCGAAAAGCTTCTCAGTAGATGTAAAGCAATTTATTATCATTTTCCCTTATTGGACTTACCGTGCGATTCTGTACTGTGATACAGTCCTGGTCTCTAAATTTGAGATTTTAAGTTAGAGAAAATTTTTGTGACTTGAGACGATTTTGCTATTCTGTAAGTGACAGTCACAAAATCTGTTACATTTCATTATTTAGGGATGTTTTTAGACTTCAATGAAAATAAATGTGTCGATAACCACTATTAAATGTTCTATTACATAGTCAAAAAACATAATTACCAATAAAAATATATGTTGAATTTTATTCATAATATTTACGAAATTTATGTAAAATTGATTTATTTTTTAACCTTTTCGTGTTTAAGTTGCTTACAAAATATAAAAAAACGACAATCGATTAATATCTATGATGATCTCTATTCAGTATATTCTAAATAGCAAACAAGAGTTCTTTTTAGTTTTGTGACCTGCTAGCTATCAGGTCTCAAATTTGAATCAATATTTTGCGACTAATGCTAGAGACTGTTTAGTGAATAGTAACTAGTCAAAATTGAGGCTTGACCTCAAATTGTCTCAAATAGTGACTAGAGACTGCTTACAGAACTCCACTATTAGACGACCAAAAGGTAATCTGGAAAAGTCACTACCATATACAGCTTTTTTACCTGTACTACATTAGACCAAAAGTATATACCGAAATCAGTAAACGTTTCAAATATGTATTTAATTTTGCTAACTATCGGTCTTACTTGGACTTCTACCTACGAACAATAATAATCATATAAAATACAGCTGTATTATGCTTCGTATACTTCCCCTTGGAGCAAGTCAGGAAATACCCACAAGCCAACCAAAAACATTAGTTTCCGAAATAGACGAGTTTAAACAAAAATTTAAAGAGATAACAATTATGGAAACAATTAAAAAGTGAAAAAGCTTACATCAAAAGCTTACAGAACAAAATAATCGCCCATTTGTACCTAATTATGGTCAATCACAATACGAAACTGATAAAGAATGGGCTCTGGAAACAGACTGGAATTTAAAGAGAAACAAAAGGCCTAGTAAATAGAGTAAGGTCGAAGCTTCACCAGAAGTGATCATAAAATAAAATACATTATCATCGAACGGTACGAACCGCGGCTATTATATCTCTCAAATATCTCTAATTATAAAGACCTTAATAACCTAATTAAAGATAATATAAAATTTTCATTTGTTTAAAAGCTATTAAATAACCACATTCATAAAATAAGCGTTACATCAAGTGATGTATATAGATCGGTGACAAAAATGTTGTCTGCGTCGGAAGCATCACGATATTCCTTTGAAGACAAACAAACGCGCCCAATAAATGATATGAATAAAAATCTCCATCATTCACGTAGTATTGGTGACATTATCTCTGATTTAAAAGAACAATGTTCTAATGATCTAAACGTCATAAATAAACTCAAGTAGAAAACACGGGAACCTTTAAACATGTTTTTAGCTACTTTTGATTCTAATGAAATATATGAAATCAAACATATTCTTCACACCGTTGTTCTCATTGACACGTAACAAAGCATTGAAGAAACAAAAAGTTTCCATAAATTTGTCCATAACATACAAAAATCCACTCATTATTAATAATACTTGTAATGCTATACAGACGAGTAAGCTTTAACGAAATGAAGAAAAACAAGTAAGGAAGGGCTAAGTTCGAGTGTCACCGAACATTTTATACTCTCGTATGATAAAGTGATAATCGAGATTTCAGGCGTGGTTGTGAACCGATTTCACCCATATTTGGTACATGTCATCAGAGTGTTAAGAAAATATTATATACC